GGCATGTGCGTGGGTAGGGGGGGGGGGGGGGCGCACGAGGCTCATTTTCCCTCCCCCTACCCCTGCCCTACTCCTTCGATCTGCAAGGCGTAGTACCTACCCTGCATTGCCACTCTGAGTCAGACTGGAGTAATACAAGTAAGCATAAACATGGGATACGTGATGACCGTGCCTACCCCTACTTATTGTACAAACACACAGGAGCTGCAAAGCGGTATTTAGCGAGGAGTTACTGTCATCAACTCTTCAAGAATAGATTTGAGAATTGAGATATCTGAACGACCAAAAGCCTGCAATATGATTTTGCGTGATTAGTTGCCAAGGCACTGCAGAAAACATTTGAAATTTCGTCGGTTTGGAGACTTTATGCGTTGCAGAAGTCAAAAATGCAAAAGTAATTGTCTTACAAACAAGGAAACTGTACCTACCTACAAAGGTTTTCGGTTTTCCAAAATTCCTTTCTTTGGGAACTCAATCACATGGTTAAGTATAAGAGAACTTTTGAATTCAAAACCTTATCAAAGTAAAGAAGAACTTAGAATAGGCTTCGGAAGACGGAATTTGATTTTTTCTGTTACATCAAGCTTACATTGTATCAAATTGAAAATGAAGCGCGCATCTCTTCTTTCAACGATTTTTTTTTCACTCACATTTCAGGAAGCAGCCTGAAGAATGTAGCTCCCTCATACCAAGCAATACAGTCATGCTAATGCCTCCGCTGCGGCCTGCATCTCTGACATTCCCGCCTATATATGTCGAATCTCCCACATCGTGCCATTCCACCGATCTCCGCCACAGCACGAGACGCGCCTTGTAAGGGGCGATATCAGCCGGCATACCGCTGATACGAGAGCGGTCAGCGATTTGAGCGCGCACACTCATCAACTTCTCGCTGGGGAATCGACGTCGATTCTGTCAGCAGGTGTGCTTCTTCCGAGAAATGAGCGGGGGAGGGGGGAGGAGAAGGGCATTGAAGTCGAGAATAGCACTATTCAGTTCGGGAAAAAGTGGGGAAATAGAAATAAAACTAAGCGGTCAAAGCTTTTAAGCGACATGATATAAACAGCTAATATGAGGAAAAGTTTGGTGTAAACTGTAGGTGCAGCAGTGCGTAAGGAATCACCGAGTGTTTTGACTGTGGAAAGGTCTTTTCGGGGTATCGTCCACCGCAAGAGCTTTTGTAATTTTGTGCGTCGTGATGTCACAACAATTTGAATAACTTCTACATTTCTTAATCGAATTTCCTAAAAATTGGTTTGTAGGTAAGATAGGTACATAGGCCATGCTTCTCTAACATATTCCGGTATATTCCGATGTTTTGGATATTATGCGGATTTCTTAAACGAAATTTTTCTTTTCAGAAAATCCTAAGTCAAGAAAAATCACGATAGCTATTTGAAAGACCAAGTGAAATCACTTTCATTCTTGTTTTGTTACATCTTGATTCCTTAGTAACTGAAGATGCTAGAGGCGTTTGAAGTTTTGCCGTATTTGAAGCGAAATGGCGTGACATGACTTAAACTAAAAAATTACCGGACGAATGTCGTTTAAATTTTCAGAGAACATAGCAAATCAAAATATGATAAGATACTGAACGTTTGACGTTGCTTCTAGCCCACACCACCAATTCTTATGGAGCTGGAAGACCCATGAGCCAGGTATGCAGTATGCAGCAGGCTGCAATGTGTCTCGCCGGCGGCCTGGCAGGCAGGCTGGCACACGCCCGGTTTGGTAGCACACGGTCGGAGCGCCGCCGAAACCCGTTCAGCGACCGGCCGGCCGCGCCTGGCGGCCAGGAATGTCGGCAATGCACCGTAATAAAATATTGATATTGTCCCCGCACTGCCACCGCCGGATGCCGTGAAGACATTGGTGGTCAGTCGCGGGCTGGCTGTTGCACTGTTGCAGACTGCTGACTAAAGTAGACATTAGACACCAATGCCATCTGAGTGGTAGCTCAGTTTTTGGACTGATGAGCGCATGAGTCGTCCATCCTTCCGACTAGGTAAGTACAATACGGACCAGCAGTTTTTTTAAGATGTTTACCAACAATTTTTGTCATAATGTCAGTCAGAGCTCTCCTTTTCAGGCGCACTTAAAGGGACAGTATCATCGAAAAAAAATCCATGTATGGAGCTGATTTTTTTTTACTAGCATTTCTTATTTTTCTGAATCAGAAAAACATAGTTTGAGGACCGAACTCGGTGAAAAATATTGCAACCACATTTCATTTTCATGATTCATTTTCATGAGCGAACCACCACTATACAAGCATGGCCGCCAGTTTGGAAGCATGCAAAATTACTACAGAACTGGCGCGGATAATACATTATTGACGCTACGCTTACGCGGTCGTTCTTCTGATTGAGTTGTCCTTAGGGAGAGGTAGCCTTAGGTATTGCCTATAAAAATATAACGTGACAATTGGAGGGAGTGACAATTGGACGTGACAATTGACAATGGGAGAAAATATCACGTGACAATCACGTGATAAGCGTCATACATTGGAGGGAGATTGTGATTCAAGCTGGAGGAATTCCTTTGTTGAGCCGCTAGAATCCGAAGGAAACAGCGGAAATTGCCTACGACTATTTAATGAATTTAACGGTGATGAATAAGAGCGAAAAACGTTTTGGCTTTATAAAATTTGATAAAATGACCAGGGTAAAAGTTTTATTACTGGCGGTCAATTCAAAACGGCGCAAACATTTAAACAGTGAAGATAGTGAAGCACGATTCAAAGTGTGGTACACCTTTCGTACTTTGAGCGGCGATAGCGGGATAACGGTGTGGAGCTTCGAGGATCGGTCTTCAGTTCCCGGACCAGAAAGGTGGGGCCTATGCAATGTCAAATTTCATCAAAATGGTGATACTGTCCCTTTAAGCCACAACAGTCCTGCCCTGCACTGTTGGACATTTAGCCATTGACTGACTCATTGACTGCGACTGCGTAATGCGTATCCTGTTTTGCATCGACTCTTTCATGTGATTCGGCGATGGCGAGGACAACGGTGGGGGCGGGGGTGGCGTAGGCGGCAGCGGCGGGGTCGACGCGTGGGCGGCGGCAAAGACGGGCCCGCGGCGACAGTGGGTCTGGGTAAACACGCCGGAAACTTCAGAGCACACCGATAGCGGCTCCCAGCGGGGTATCGTCAGGTGCCGAGGCGGGGCGGCAGGGCAGGACAGAGGACAAGTAGGGCAGAGCACGCGTGGCAGGGTAGAATTCAGCCGTAGGGTAGAACACAGGGCAGGGCAAAACACGGCAGGGCAGAATACGGGGCAGGACAGAACAGGAGCAAGGGTACGGGTCAGGCAAGGAATAAAGACAGGACAAGGTAGCACACGGATCCAGGAAGAGCAGGCGGGGCAAAATAGGAGCCAAGGTTGGGAACATGAGGCATGGTGAGGCCGGTCATTAGCGAGGCTAGTGAACCAGGACCCAGGTCGGACATCACCGGCAAGGCATAACGTGGACAAAAGCATAACACAATAATGCAGGCCACATGTAGGACATTATTATAGATAAAAAATACAAACAGGGGTCATAGGTAAGGGCACACCCATTCTCGAAATTCGTATATGCATGGACGGAAGTAAAGTCCGTGTTTACAGGGACGTCCACGTTTTTCGGTGTCACGCCGTTGCCGTTGAATTTTCGACGATGCCCTCTTGACATGACAACAAGCGAAGTTGCCCGCTTGTTACTAGCCCGATTCTGTGCCGAAATTGACGTGTTTAAGGGTAGAGAATTCGACCGACATACATGGACCAAAAAAAGATGTGATAAGGGTGTTTGCATGGACAGTGGGCGGAGCCTAATTTCTCTATGAGTTATTTTCATATATCCATGGACTTGTGGGCGGAGCTTAACACAGTCCATGTAAGCACGGTTTTATTCGCTTACTCGATTCGAAAGCATGAACCCGTTCTAGTATAACCTTTAATCGTGTTTTATCGCCATTAGATTGTATGTCATGCGCGTAATTTAACCCTCGCCCTATTGTTTTTCTACATATCGTTGGTACGACCCTCTCACCTTTTCGGCCCTAATAAATAACCTGAACTCATGTGACCTTTAGGAAAAATCCGAGATGTACAAGGTGTGAGGCCTCTAGATGATATTAGCCATTAGGCACTGTAAGTTTCATCTCCCTTTGAAAGCTCCTCTGGCACTGAGATCGTTGCGAAGTTGCGACATTTTAGGACCGTGCAGATGCTCACTTATGTCGTAGGTCATTGACTTGACCTGACCTGAAAATGCGGATGTCACAAGATTCGGGTTGAATCAAATGTCAGGTATGCTAAGGTCCAGCTCTCTATCTTCAGCGTGTCCCGAGCTATCGTAAAAAAATATAAAAGGCGCGGCGCTCCCCCCCCCCCTACCATTCGGCCGGCGAGCGTTAGTTAAACCGCGCCTGACAGGGAGGAGGGCTATTTAGAGCCCCTCCCCCTCCCTACACACTATACACAAACATATAAACACAAATATGTGTGTGCAAATTTTATATAAAAATGTGTGGAGATCTGATGATTGTTCGGAATGATGAACTCGAGTGAAGCGTGAATTGTCGGCACCGATCACCCCGTCAAAGAGCAAGAAAGTAGCTGCTAAAGAGTTAAATGAGGTCATATCACATGGGCATGAATACACTTACTATCGACTGTTCGAATTATTCAAATGTATTGCTTAAGTCTCGCTCAGCTTCCAAATTCTGCAGAACAGAAAAGACTCGGTTGATTATTGTTGCGAGATACACAGATGAGTTTTGAAATAAGAAAAAAAAATGGAACGCTTCACACTATATATTATCAAATATCAGCCTCGCAAGTCAGCATGAATGATCAAAGAATTATATTACCCGGCGAACTGAGGGCAAACAATTGCATAATTTTAAGCCAGCTGATAATGATTTTCTTCGCGGTGAAAGGTAATCCGTCTATGCGATTGCGTCATACCGCCGCTCGTCAGGTCCGCATGAGCCATGAACAGGGCCAGGTCATTCGTTCGCGCGCCACCAGCGCGAGCGGACGGCGAATGCCGAGCGCATCAGTTTACATAACAACTTTGCACATGTTGAGGCGGAACAAGCAAATCCGCTGCCACAGACGAGGCATCTTTGTCACCACGCACCTTCATGAATGTAGACAATTAACATGAGTGTATGCCTAAACCTTGAACGTGAATCTCGAGCCGCAGTCAACGGCGGCAGAGCGCATATTCTGGGCGGGCACGCACACGCGGCGGCTGCCGACTGTGCGCGCGCGTGAGGCGGTGGCACCAGTGGACGGGCGTCTAGCGTGCGCGTGGCGGCATCGGCGCCGGTAGACGGCCGTCTTGGCGCGCGCGCGGGGGCGGCGGCGGCTGTCTTGGCACGCACTCGTCGGCCAGCTGGACGGAGTCAGAGCAGCCAGATTCCCAACCAGAACTGACGGTCTTCCGATGCAGCGTCTTCAGTACGGCCAGAGACAGACTCGTTGTCCAGCGCCTCAGTCTCCTCCGTCTGGCATCACACAGGGGTGGGGCTGGGTTAATAAAGGCTGACACGGGGAGTAGTTAGGTTTAATACCGATCTGACAAGAGAGAGGGTAATGGGTCAAACACTGAGCTGACACAGGAGGAACGGCTGGGTCGAACACCGAGCTGACAAGGGGGTGGGGGCTGGGTCAAATACCGATCTGACACGGGGAGGGGTCTGGGTAAGACATCAGGCTGACACAGAAGAGAGGTTAGATCGAACACCGAGCTGGCACGTGGGAGTAGTTAGGTCTAATACCGACCTGACACGATGGAGGGGGCCGGGTCAAACACCGAACAAACACGGGGAGAGGGCTGGGCGAACACCGAGCTTTCAACGCATAGGCGGTTACTCGACAGGCCGAAAAGGGAATGTCAGAGAGTAAGTCACCACAGGAGCTAATGCAAAAGGTAGCTGATATTAGGAAAGATAATTACTGATAGCACGGACACGGAAAAAGGCCAAGCTAGTAGTACGGGACACTATAAAGTATCACAAATTACCAAGAACACGTCGTTGGCGGTTCATGGTACGGCACATAATTGCCGCACAACTGCTATACGAGGCTCGGGAGACCAATTCCCCGCTGACCCTGCAGATGCACTATCAGCCAAGCCATTTCAACAGCCATATCAGAGCGACCATGACGTACATAGCTTCCATCGGTACCCCCCCCCCCCCACACCTAGTACCCACCTGTTCAGTATAATCAGCTGAGATGTAGATCAGCGGCCGCCCTGCCCGCAGGTGCGCATCTCTGGGGCCGCGGCCGCCGTCAGCTGTTGTGGTGTCCCCAAAGCTGCCGCCGTAGCCAAAACAAGGCTCTTGTGGGCCTCGTAGCCGGCGACCAAGATCGCCACCATGTCGTCGCGTTCGACATCGTGGGCCGCGCCGACGATGTTTCCCCGCGCACGGAGCCGGAGGCCGTAAAAGCACGGACACTCCAGCAACACGTGCGCCTAATTGTCTGCTGCTTCGCCGCAGACCAGGCAGCGGCCTGTTGGACATTCGGTGTCACTGCTGACTGCACTGGGCGCACTCGGACGTTGGCCTTCTTTCAATCCGGTGGAGATGCTGCCCCGATCATCCCCAGTGGCCCGACCAGCGCTGATAAGTGTAACAGCCTTCTCCCTGGTAGCACTCGGACCGGGGCGGGGGCGCCGTGAGCTCCGCGCGCGCACTGGAGCAGAAGCGGCCCGCCGGGACCCATATGTCCCAGTCGTCTCCATCTGGTAGCGGCTTGGACCGGGGCGGGGGCGCGGTGAGCTCCGCGCGCGCACTGGAGCAGAAGCGGCCCGCCGGAACCCGTATAACCCAGTCGTCTCCATCTGGTAAGCGGAGCAGGGAGCCACCGCCGCCAAACCATCCTCCGCCGGCCCGTCCGAACAGATCCAGACGGCCTCATCCGGCAGCTCCCGGATGCATTCCTCCGCGCAGCACGGCCACTACAGATGCTGCGAGGCTGGCCCGCGGGCCCACTGCCGTCTGGACGCGCGCGCGCAACGGCGGCGCCAGCGAGCTGCTGTGTAGGCACTCGCCCGTCGGCCAGCTGGACGGAGTCAGAGGTCTTCCGACGCAGCGTCTTCAGCACGGCAAGAGACAGGCTCGTCCAGCGCCTCACTCTCCTCCGTCTGGCATCACACAGGGGTGGAGCTGGGTTAATACAGGCTGACACGGGGAGTAGTTAGGTTTAATACCGATCTGACAAGAGAGAGGGTAATGGGTCAAACACTGAGCTGACACAGGAGGAACGGCTGGGTCGAACACCGAGCTGACAAGGGGTGGGGGCTGGGTCAAATACCGATCTGACACGGGGAGGGGTCTGGGTAAGACATCAGGCTGACACAGAAGAGAGGTTAGATCGAACACCGAGCTGGCACGTGGGAGTAGTTAGGTCTAATACCGACCTGACACGATGGAGGGGGCCGGGTCAAACACCGAACAAACACGGGGAGAGGGCTGGGCGAACACCGAGCTTTCAACGCATAGGCGGTTACTCGACAGGCCGAAAAGGGAATGTCAGAGTAAGTCACCACAGGAGCTAATGCAAAAGGTAGCTGATATTAGGAAAGATAATTACTGACAGCACGGACACGGAAAAAGGCCAAGCTAGTAGTACGAGACACTATAAAGTATCACAAATTACCAAGAACACGTCGTTGGCGGTTCATGGTACGGCACATAATTGCCGCACTGCTATACGAGGCTCGGGAGACCAATTCCCCTCTGACCCTGCAGATGCACTATCAGCCAAGCCAGTTCAACAGCCATATCAGAGCGACCATGACGTACATAGCTTCCATCGGTACCCCCCCCCCCCCCCTCCACCTAGTACCCACCTGTTCAGTATAATCAGCTGAGATGTGGATCAGCGGCCGCCCTGCCCGCAGGTGCGCATCTCTGGGGCCGCGGCCGCCGTCAGCTGTTGTGGTGTCCCCAAAGCTGCCGCCGTAGCCAAAACAAGGCTCTTGTGGGCCTCGTAGCCGGCGACCAAGATCGCCACCATGTTGTCGCGTTCGACATCGTGGGCCGCGCCGACGATGTTTCCCCGCGCACGGAGCCGGAGGCCGTAAAAGCACGGACACTCCAGCAACACGTGCGCCTAATTGTCTGCTGCTTCGCCGCAGACCAGGCAGCGGCCTGTTGGACATTCGGTGTCACTGCTGACTGCACTGGGCGCACTCGGACGTTGGCCTTCTTTCAATCCGGTGGAGATGCTGCCCCGATCATCCCCAGTGGCCCGACCAGCGCTGATAAGTGTAACAGCCTTCTCCCTGGTAGCACTCGGACCGGGGCGGGGGCGCCGTGAGCTCCGCGCGCGCACTGGAGCAGAAGCGGCCCGCCGGGACCCATATGTCCCAGTCGTCTCCATCTGGTAGCGGCTTGGACCGGGGCGGGGACGCGGTGAGCTCCGCGCGCGCACTGGAGCAGAAGCGGCCCGCCGGAACCCGTATAACCCAGTCGTCTCCATCTGGTAAGCGGAGCAGGGAGCCACCGCCGCCAAACCATCCTCCGCCGGCCCGTCCGAACAGATCCAGACGGCCTCATCCGGCAGCTCCCGGATGCATTCCTCCGCGCAGCACGGCCACTACAGATGCTGCGAGGCTGGCCCGCGGGCCGACTGCCGTCTGGACGCGCGCGCGCAATGGCGGCGCCAGCGAGCTGCTGTGTAGGCACTCGCCCGTCGGCCAGCTGGACGGAGTCAGAGCAGCCAGATTCACCAACCGGAACTGGCGGTCTTCCGACGCAGCGTCTTCAGCACGGCAAGAGACAGGCTCGTCCAGCGCCTCAGTCTCCTCCGTCTGGCATCACACAGGGGTGGGGCTGGGTTAATACAGGCTGACACGGGGAGTAGTTAGGTTTAATACCGATCTGGCAAGAGACAGGGTACTGGGTCAAACACTGAGCTGACACAGGAGGAACGGCTGGGTCGAACACCGAGCTGACAAGGGGTGGGGGCCAGGGTTGTATACGACTCAGAGTTGAATCATGAATCGACTCAAGAATCAGTCGTTTTTCTTCGAGTCATGAGTTGAGTCGAATCAAATAATTTGAAAGCTTAATGAATCATGAGTCGAGTCGATTCACATATGTATAGGCCACTTGAGTCAGAGTTTGAGTCGATTCAAGGTAACGCGAGTCACTTTTTGAATCGATTCAAGGAACTTGTCACAGTCTGCTCCAGCCACCAGGTAAGATAAACTTATTTTTACAGTCATGAAACTGCTAGTGAAGTAGTGAGCACCTTTTATGTTTTGGCTGGCATCAGCTACCTACCTATTATATTCAACTTTGGCAAGTCAGCATTGCAATTGCCTCAGCCTGTATTTATTTATACCTATATGCAATCACTACATCTGTGGACTGTTACTGAAATACTCACATTTGGTTGGCTTTGTGAGTGCTAGTAAGGGACACTAACAAACTTATGAGATAGATACCAGTTTACAATTGAAATAAAACCTTAAATAATTGTCTATCAAAGTTGTCTAGAAAGACCATCAATAACCCTCACATTTTTCTTTTCCGATGGTTCACAATTGCTAATTCGTGGTCGCGCATGACGTCGCAAATAACTATTCGTAAACAAGATGAAAAATGAAGTTTTTTTATTTAATTCAAGCTGATAAATGAATAGGAACAGATTTAAAACGATATTAGAACTTGATCTTTTTAGCCAGAAAATTATAAAATGATAAAAGTTAAGAAAAAATATAACATGATTTGGTTTCAAATTAAAATTGTATGACGTCATTAACGTGGACAAATGTTTCTCGAGCTTGCATAGATAAGAGTAATATTTGTAAGTTATTAGCGATTTCTGTCGACAATCATATTTGCTGCCATATCCCAAACGTAAAGGAAAAGCAAAAAATCGTAGCGGCGCTACCATAGCTAAAAAAACGCTACCATAACGCAAATCAACTAGAAAGTGACGTTTTATTTAACTTTGTTATTTATAATTAACGCAAACGTCCATTTTTAGGCTTGGTGTTGTATTTTTCTGCTAAATTTAATAGAAATTGGTTTGTTTATTTTGAGTTTAATTAGTTATGACAAGCTAAAGCTAAGGTTAAGATAATTGACGTCATGTGATTATACCTTTAAAAAGTAAACCACACTACATTATTGGATTATGTCCTAAACCTTGTCCTGGTAAATTCTCAAGGCCACAAGGCAACAGGGCATGAACAAAATGTTTTTTCTTTGCATTTTGAGATTCTAATTAGCCTTACATTTGGCTTCATATTTGTCATATATTAAAGCCTTCATATTTGCATTCTTATTTAGAAATCAATACTGTGCTGGCTTGCAGCTGGCACGTAGTTAGGTACATATTGATTTGCTGCTGACATTTTTATTTACATTATAGGTATGCAAAGTGTGTTATGTGGTTTCAATAATAATTCTTAATAGTAACATGTTTTTCTTTATTTCTATTTCATACATAAATAAAATGGTTAATGTTAGCTTTTTTAAAATATCTACATGTATATAGTTCACTAGTTGTCAGGAATTACATATGCAGTATGCACCCATGAATGTATTTCACTACATAGTAAAGCAAGCGTCATACTTCTTTTTGGAACAAAGGAGAGGCGCTGTAGGTTAGGTTTTAGGTTTTAGGTTTTAGGTGGTAGATTTTAGGTTGTAGGTTGTGTTAGGTTATGCCAGGTTTGATTAGGTTTGGTTTGGTTTGGGTTGATGAGAAAGCATCTCTGGGTACAGCGCCTCTCCATGGTTGCAGAAATAAGTGTGACGCCTGCTTTACGACTGCCTGTATTTCTTGGGTTTGCACAAACATTTTATGTTGAATAATTTGATGAGTCTGTCCAATGAGTTGAGTCAGAATTGAGTCATGAGTCGATTCAAATTATTTAACATAACCCTTGAGTCATGAGTTGAATCGAATCGTTAAACTGAAAATATGCTTGAATCATGAGTCGAATTGATTCATATATGTATTTTTTGTCATGTTTGAGTCAAGAGTTGAATCGAATCATTTCAATTTAAGTTTTTGGAATCATGAGTCGAGTCAATTCAGTTTTAGGAAACTCTCTTCTGAATCGACTCACCAAAAATTTGAGTCGTATACAACCCTGGTGGGGGCTGGGTCAAATACCGACCTGACACGGGGATTGGACTGGGTCAAATTTTAGACGTTTCTGTCACTGGCGGTGGACCTGCGCGTCACCCTCCCCGTCGGCGCCCACCTTCGGGACCACGGCCGTAGCCAGCTCGGCCAGCTCCAGGTCACCCTTGACATTCTATAGCTTAATCTGAACACCAGAACACACAGGTCAGGTCAATTATCAGTATTTTGAGTAAATCAATAACATTTTACCAGTTTCCCACGCATTTACTTTGATGCACCATAAGAAGCGGCGGTTGCTGTGCACTAACGTTTTCCCTGTAACTACCCCCCCCCCCCCACCCACACACACACAGGCCTGTACCTTCCTGCCGTCCTCTCTTCAGTTCTTGTGTGCGGGTTCCCTCGTCCGTAGCAAGCCCCCCCCCCCCAGACCCGACACACCTGTATCCGATGGGCGTCCGAGCGCGAGACTGTTGGTGATGGCGACGGCGTCGCCTGTATGAGCGCGCGCGAACAGTTTTTCTCTGGAATCCCTTGTGCACTGAAGGTTCATTTTTCTGGAGGTCGCATCCTGCAACGAGGAAAAAATATGTTAAAGAATAGCAAAATCCCAAGGGATGATGCATTACTTACCTATATGGCGGACATCACCATACAGTTATGGAAATGTCATCAACATTTAACAGTCAAAAAATGGAAATATGGCTTATGTGGCCTGCATCACTATGTTGTAATGAAAATGCCATCAAAATTCAAGCATGACCATTGACCTTGAGTCTGAGTAGGAATCTTTGTACCGGGCATGAGCTGAGTTTCTGCTTAGCCTGAAATTGAATACTCTGAAACTGGGCTTCAGCCTCTTGGGCTCGGCTGGGCTCTTTGACAAAAGTTTATCACATGAGCAAGTCTCTGACTGAACCAGTCAGCGGTCTCTTCAACTCAATGTGCTATAAATTGAAAATTGTGATGGAAAACAACATGCAGTTCCATTGATATTTCACTTTTTTGGATCATTTACCTTTCTGTTCTCACAAACCGGAGCTGAGTTTTACATAGGCGTGGGGACAGGGGGAAAGGGGGCGACCGGAGGGCCATGCCCCCCCCCACTTTCGGAGGTGGGGGGGGGGGGGGCAGCAATGTTAACTCCCCCCCCATTTCTTGATGAACTTTTGCGCCTGTATATACCACTCGGCACCCTGAACAGTGAACACCAAAACTTGACGATTCTTCAGGTTCGGCTTCCCTTCGAAATTCGATGAAGATTTCCTTTTTGTATCTACAGCGTTAAAGTTAATGAGCGCAAATTTCCTTCACTCAATGTAGGAAACCATATCAGAAGCAACAAAAGAGAGGTCTGTTGGCAGTATTACGTTGAATACGAGGCGAGGCGTATGATAGCAGTGAAAGAAAAGATTTGACAACAGTGGCCAGAGGACCGAAAAACCCATGCTTTGCTGCAAATAACATAAAAATAAATCTGCTTTGCTGAGCCGAACGCATTGAAAATTGCAGATGCTTTCATCACACTGTCATCATCATGTCTCCATCAAAAGTTACTGTCAAAAACTTATGGTGAGCATTGGTGAGATTTCTGGTGACCTCTAGGCTCTACAGTCTACAGGCTTCTGCACACACTGCTAGGGGCCATGCTGGTCAGTGGTAACTGAGGAGCCACGCTTGTCAGTGCCCTTACGCCGGTCTCTAAGAGCTCCAAGTGGTCGATCTCTGAGGATCCCACGCAGTCTTTGGAGGCTTCACGTCGGCCCCCTGGTTCTTAGGTCATTAAGGACTAAGCTGGTCCATTTTAAGCCTCAGCAGTCAGTAGAAGTCTAAGAGCCTCAGGTCGCCCTAACGGAGCCAATATCGATCTCTTAGGGGCCCTTTGCTGGTTGAGAGCTGATGCCCTAAGCTTTAAGAGGTCCCAACTCGAGTTATGACACCTGCTCTGGCCCCTGATGGCTCCATGTCGTCCTCAGAGGCCTCACTCCGACCTCTGAGGTCTCATGCTGGCCTTTGAAGGCCCATACGAACAGGTGAACCCACGCTGGCCTCAGGGCCCTACGAACGATGGCCTTAAGAGGCCCCTGCTGACCTCATGGAACCCAGGGAACATCTAGAAGCCTATACCGGCCTTTGAAGGCCCCGTGCCGGCCTCTAAGGGTCTTCTCCGAGGGCCCAGTTCTGCATAAGGGCTTAAAACGGCTGGCGAGGTCCTCGAGATGGCCTTTGATGGTTTCTGAGGGCTTAGCCGTCGGAGGACCGAGGAGAGCAATTAGATGCATCGAGAGTATTCCGATAGGGTTTTGGTAGAAGGGATGCAACTACCTGACATAATGTCATAAATGACCGTGAATTGATCGACCTAGCGGCTGCGGAGATCTCTAAAAATAAGCCTCCAGGCTCTAAACAAGCCTAAAAATACATCACTTGAGCGGATCAACATTGACACCCATGACTTTCCACGTGGCACGGCAAGGACCGGGCCGGAAGTTGCGGGGTCACAAAAATAGGTGGAGCGGTGTGTTCGAGACTGGCGGGTGCCAGCGAGGGCCGGGCAGCGGAGCAGCACGTGCTCCAGGACATAAAACTCTTCTCGGCACACGGCGCAGAGCGCCGCGGGGCACCGCTTGTCCAGGCACTGTTGGCCTGCCGCGGAGGGGAGACGGCCGATTTGGTGTACGTACTGGAGCGAGCGGCCCCAGTGGCCTGCCCTCATGTGGTGCACCGAACCGGCGTCCCCCCGGTCCTCTCAGAGGATAGGGACTGCTGCGTGCTCCCGAAGAGTGGCTTGAATAGTGACTCGGACCAGTTGCTGCACCATTGACGCGAGGCCTCCCGGCGTCCCAGAAGACCCTGCTAGGAGCCGCCATCTGGACCGAACTAGCGGCCCTGGCCGGTCCGTCCCGCCGGATCCACCTGCAGTGGGTGCCGTCCCATTGCGGCGTCGACGGTAACGAGCGCGACGACCAGATCGCCAAGGAGGCGGCCGCGCTCCCCCAGGCGGCGGTCCCGGTGGACGTCGCTACCGCCCACCGTGCGGCCGTCAGAATGGCCCGCGACCGCACCACCGCCGTCTGGCCGGAGGGCTGGTACCGGACCCTGATGGGGAACCGGCTGCCGCTACCGGTCGCGACGGGGGACAGATCGTCGGCCGTCGACGTCCATCAACTTCGCGCGGGCCACTGGTCGGGCTCCCGCCAATACCTCCACCGGATTGGACGGAACTCTTCCGAAGATTGCCGCCAGTGCCCTGACTGTGCCCTGACTGTGCGGCGGGCCGGTGCACCGTGTGCCGGGAGGAGGCCGACACGCCCCGGCACCTCTTCTTCCGGTGCCCGGCCCTCATGGGATTTTTCCGGGCCCGGAAGACGTCCGCGACGACGGAGAGGTGGCGGCCCTGGCGGCCGCCGTGAGGGACCTCCAGAGCCGCACGGCTACACCGCGGTAACGCGTCTGGAGGGAACAACAACAACAACAACAAGGCCGCACAATGAACCGCCCGGGTAGCGAGCGGGCGTCCGAGGGCGGGGCGACCGCTTGTTTCGCCACGTCGTTCGGGCTCTCATTCCCCTCGATCCTGCAGTGGGCAAGAGCCTGGAACCCACTGCAGGATTACTTCATGACGCTCGGCCATGTTTAACAAGGTCTTCCATGCCTATCTCCGCGCCGAGGGTGGAGGCCTCACCTGGGCGGAAGCTCCTCCCCTGAATAGACTCAGGGCGGCTCGCAAGTCGAAGCACACGACGACCGAGGCGGGGGACGTCCCATCCCAAACCCTCTCCAGAGCTGCCCGCAGGTGAATGTGCTGCTAGACTGACAAGCGTGGCGAAAAATTTGGTGACCGCCATTCGCCGAAAAAATTCTGCGGCCGCCCTGCTCCGAAAACTTAGCGGCCGCCATGCGCTGAATTCGACGCATGCGAAGTTACGCCGGAGCTGAAATTTTCGGCGCAATCCCCACCACCACGCCGGACATATTCGGCATCACGTGTATTTTTTTCCAGTCTGGCAACAGGAACGGAAAAATTATTGTCATTTGATGTTTTAACTGGATGAATTGCTTTGAAATGTCCAAGGAAGTGGCCCTTGAAAGCCGCTCTTCTGTAAAACTAACTGGCGCAGTTTAGAAGCTACTTGACATTTGCCACAGCCAAGTTGATTTCAATTTTCAAACTCAAGGAAGACTTTAAAAATCCCAAATTTCATTCCACAGGTTCCACTTCATTTTAATTTTCAAATTTGCGGAATTTTAGCTCAAAATTAGGTAGGTAGATGTGGTAGGTATAGATTAATATTTGTGGTTCTCATTGCAATGTCAACCTGCAGATTTTACAGCATTAACCCGCGCCCCGTAGGGGGGGGGGCCGAAACGGCCCCTCCCTGTCCTTTTCGGTCGATATCTTCTAAACGGCTGGAGATATCGCCACGAAACTTTCAGGACCCCTCCGGGCATCAATTTTACACATTGTGACCAAAAATTTTTCCAGAGGCTATGATAGGTTGGCCACAAATGACGTCAGAGTGACGTCATGTTCTGTCATTTTCGACCGAAAAAAGACCTTCGCGAGAAGACCTGTCAGGACTACAGCTTTGAAGATACAGAAAAATGATCAAGACATAAAAGGTGTAGAATTGACAGGGCTACAAAACTGCTATCTCGAATTTTTAAAATTTTTGAGTTTTGACCCCCAAAAATCAAAAAAGCATTTTTTGGATATATTCGCCAAAAAATCCAAAAAGTTTTTTGAGTTTCGGAAAAACCGGAATATATGTGATAGTGCCTACCGTCTTCTATCTACATACCAAATTTCAGATCGATACCTCGTTTTTTGGCCAAGTTATAGCGAAAAAACTGTTCAAAAATGATGACGTCAAATTTTCAAACTCAATTTTTGGCAATTCTAGAACTCGTAGAGCAAAACGAAGACCACCATTAGACTCCCCGTGACGAGCTGCATCGAATGGATACCCATTTTATGCAAAAATATCAACTTTGAAATTTGACCTAATTTGACCTGACCTTGACCTGACCTTCACAAAAACGTGACCTAGGCTGGCCCCAAAGGCTGCCTAACCCACATAATCGCATTTGTCATGTAAAATGGACCATAAAACATGTATCACACGACACATTCATATTTTGACCCCCGGTGACCTGACCTCGCTGTGACCTGACCTGGTATCAGTGACCTCAGATAGCAAAGTATGTGTTTGAAGAACAATGTACCATCGATGGTTTTCAATAAATTACCAATTTACTCGCTTTCACAGCACATTTCTTGAATTGCCTGTGAACGGTGAAAATCTGACCTTTGACCTGACCTGTGACGTCATCGGTTTGACCTAGGTCAATGAAATTTGGTCACAAGGTAGTTACCGGGTGGGGCTATCGAACGCCGTTTGAATTTTGAAAATCGGCCGGTAACTTTCCGAGATCTTAGGGGGGGGGCCGAAACGGCCCCTCCCCTACGGGTGGTAGGGTCCGCCGGTAGCCCTACGGGGCGCGGGTTAAGTGTTTCTGCTTTTTATGACACAGATGCTGGGTGAAGATGAGTAAATTCACAAAAGAGAGGAAACACTTTGACCAGAGCATGGCCATGGACATTCACCTAAGTTACAAGCTTGCATTTCATACAAGGCTATTGTGCCTTTTCAGTAACAGCAGCAGGTCAGCAAACTCATCCACCAACTGTGCCCCTGCAACTGGGGGAAGCAGGGAAATGAAGTGTGACTAATGGTTGGTGACAAAGCCTATCTTGATCTATTCATCTGAGTCTGTCTCAGCTGAGTCTTCATGGGTGGAAGCACTAATAGTTAGGTATGCAATGTCTGTAATTGTTATGAGGTTAAACAGTAGCTGCAATGTTGGATTATATACATAATACATACCTATGAGGCAGAATAAAAGAAATCTGCCAAGTTAAATGCAAATAATTTTGTAAAAAGGTAAATATCATCAACCATGGTGATCAACCATGTCTCTGAATATAGAAAATTGACAGAAGTCAAAGCAAGGTTGTCAAACAGCACAGCTGCCACATACCAAAAATACTCTATTAATTCAGATTTAAAAATGGATACACCCATAAATGATCACATTGATACATGCTTATGCAATCTCCACATTAACATTTCCATACAATGTCCAGCAAAAATCGGCAGCATAGGTACCTATCAAAATTAGGTGCCGGGGACCCCAAAAGCCTTAAAACTATCAATTGACATCACAGGCAGAATTTGAGGATTTTATAATTTATAAAACAATGTATGATTTTTCCCCTTTATCATAAAGACCACAGGCCAGCCAATGACCATGCGCAACAACACAATTGGACAGTGATGAAATTTAACTATATAAGCATCTGGGAAAAAAATCACATTTTCATTGCTCTAATCTAATCTGGATATTACCTTTAAAAAAATTGAGCCAAGATGGTCTAGAACCCTACCAACCAGGACTTCGGAAATGGCATTCGGAATTATGTCTAGTGTAGGTACCTAGGTACTACACATGGCTACAGTTTATTATTTCTTGACAATAAAATGGCTAATAACATTTTCTTTTGTAATCAGAAAGATCAGCACCTAGGCAATATAACATCTATATATAAAAGTAAAGGAACACTCAGTAGCTGGCAACGCTGCAGACCTGTGCCGTCTGCAGTGTTTAACTTTGTGACTCTGCGTAAGAGGTTGGTAAATTGATTGACTTTCCCCAAATATTCCAAACTGACTTTGGAGCATAAGCAAGATAATGCTGTTCTTGCAACAAAACTAGATTTTAAGGATTCATAACTGTGACTGTGACTGTCTTGAGCAGGCTCAGCTCAACAGCCCCTATTTGTGTACAAATATAGAACAGCATGTCAATATATTGACAGTGGTAGTCTATTTATTATTAGGAAAAGGTCATCTCATTCAAGCACAGGAAAATCAAGCTTGACAAACATGGCATGCCTAAATCTAATGCTGTGGCCATGCTCTTGGGCTTAGAAAAGTGGGGCAACAATACAAAATACAAAAATACATAGTAGTATGCCATACAGCCGAATGCTTACCTTTCTATTTCCACCCATCGTTATCCACTCGCCTAGAACACAATCCAAACGCCAACCAAACGCGACACGACTCTTCCACACAGAAAAACGCACATCAACATGGAAATTGCCGCGAGAACTTTCTCGGCGCCGCCGATGTTGCTTACCAACGGCTTCAAGCCTTGCAACAGCTGACGATTAGTGAGAACTGACTTCTTTTCATGGACGACCAATCAGAACCGGTCTTACAAAAATGCCAACCAATCAAAATGTCGCTCTAAAAGGGCGATGCTATCGCCACGTGGTGGTGAAAAAACACACTAATCTAGGATAGCATTTTACATAGGAGTATTCTCAAGGACGAACGGGCGCGTCCATGCATTTCGGATGATTGGTATATCGCTTCATCGTCCATGATAATGCCCGAAACTGCTATTAGGAATTCATGGACAGCGAGACGTCCATGCAATCCCAGCCGTCCATGTTAATACCCTAAAAACCGCAAATTGTCCATGGGTTTACAACATTTCAAGCACTGCAGGCTCCAGGACATGGAGACCAAGACAAGGCGGGACAGGGAAGGACAAGACAGGATAAGGTAGGGCTAGGCAATAGGCATATGGTCAAGCAAAACACCACGGAGCATGATGGAAGACAGGAGCAGTTTAAAAAGATGTGTTTGTTTTCCCAATCTGTACTATCGGTCTAAGATACGGATCCCAACGACCTGGAGATTGGATGCAGCCTGGATACCCTCAGCTGTCAGAGTGACCTAGCTCAGCTGCCAGCTATAAGAACGGCCCAGCTGTCAGAATAGGTCATCACCGTTCCGTGCTTCTATCCTCAGGATACTGAAATCCTTCTCCTCCACGCCGCAACCCCTCCGGGCTGGACAGGCAACTTTATCTCATGGGGGCTGCTCCCTTCGAGCGGCACCGCTGCTCCCGAGGGAGCGCACCCCGTAGCCGGGTGCAGTGAGTGCCTTGGGGCTGGGTGGCCTGTCCTCTGGACGGGCTCAGCCCCGGCGACTCACTAGGGTGCCTGCCCAGACCAATGTCTCCCCCTATATCCTATCATCCTCCCGGCTCTGAAATGGTCTTGTCAGACCGAAAGGGCCTAACCCAACAAAACAAACAGAATAGGAGCCAGTGCACCACGCTCCACGCGCACGAGTGGTGGCGAGGGCTTTTAACGAATCCATGTCTGCTCTGACCACTGGAATACCTTATGTTTAAACCAATAGTCACAAACATCTGCTATCCTGATACCAGCTGATAAACCACCTTTTTTTGGAACACAGCAGCAAGCCTTCCTTTTTACGTTCTCCGATAGGTGCAGGGTTGTCGAATAATCTACATTCGATTCTTCAATTGGATACCAACTTTTGGTGAGGCGATTCCAAACCGACATTTGGTGTTTTGAAATTCGAGTGCTATTTTTTTTTTATACTTTATAACATAAATCGACACAAATGTAGGTATTATATGCTCAGAATTTGGTAAAAAGTCAAAATTTTTCTCAATTTTCCGGTATGGAAAATTGATTTTGGTAGTTCCCCATAGTTTTGGTTGGTATTTGGTTTAGTATCGGTTTCCCAATTACCTGCAATTGACATCACTATTCTACACAGAGTCGCGGCACGATCGCGCTGTTCTGTGACCGCCGCCTGTGCCGCTCAGGAGTGGCCGGTGCCGATCATTTGACCAGATAGCTCCACTCCAGGCCCGACATGCCGGTCTGGCCAGCAGCGAGCATTGCTGCGGTTAGCTGGAGCGAGAATTTCTAAAATCATTTTCAATCAGATAGTGCTGGAATCCGGCAGTGGTACTGAATGAAAGCGGAGCAGCGGGCTAACGGTTCATATCCCATGTGATACGTTGCACGTTGTTTCACTAGTGGTGAGAGGTGGACTTCGAAGATAGGTGCGAGTGCGCAAACAATTTATGATATTTCCTGTTACCCTAATGTGCATCGCTTACGCGGCAAACGTCTACTCTGTTAGATGTGTCACATGCACTTTTATAAATGGCTAACAACGATGATCTTGAATACATGGAATTAGGCAAATGCAAGGTCCGCCGGGCTTTTCCCCATTGGCGAAGAAAATAAGCATAGGTACATATTATATATTTTCTCCATTAACTTATGTTCGAGAGCATATTCTACAGCGAAAAAACAGCAACCAGTGATTGTATAACAAAACAAGTCACATTTCGAAATGAATCATTCATTTCGAATGATTGATTCATTTCGACTTCATTTCATATATGCTCAAAGAATTAACTAATATCTTATGAAGTTATTTGTTTGACAGGAGCAGAGATCCTCAATCCAAATCACCCGAAAATTTATGAGCTCTCGCTTTTAGATCATTCTTTTCTCAGTACATGCCAACAGCATATTATAGTGCCTGTGCATCGGTCTGTGATTCGGAGTGTTTGTGTATGTCTGTGTGCCCGCCCCTCGACCGGCCGGCGCTCGCTGCCTGGGAACAGTGCCACCTCACGATTTCGGCGTGCCATCCAGCCAATATCAGACAATCGGACCCCTCCCCTCCCCCTCCCTGCCGCGTGCCACTGCACTGCAGCCGCTCCCAACGAGCCCGGCCCAGACGCGGGCGGGCCGGCGACCACCCGCCAGCTGACTGCCGCTGCCGCCGCTGGCAGTGGGATGCTACTGCTGCTGCTACTGCTACATGTGCTGTAGATACTTACTGTTGCCCTGTGTGGCTACTTTTAATACTAGTTTTTCGGATACTGAACTGATGGAGAAATGCCATTTAATTACACATCGATATCATTTTAAATACCTGCCTTCAGTTGGGATAAAATAAAAATTTCGAAGTTTTTTTTTAACAACAGCAAAGCAATTACTTTTTTGCGCAGTTTCTGAGCTGTTTTGATGCAGATAGTGGACATGTCATGCCAAGGCATAAGCTTCCTTCAACTGCGGCTGACATGCCCTCCCTTGCAACTGACCTGAGTGCGCCCCTGATGCCGCCATGCCGGCAGTCCGAGGCAGCTGGACTATCTGTGCAACGACAGTGGCCGGTGTCAGTTTATGGACCTCTTGCTCGTAGTCCCGACCAGGCATATCAAGTATTGCCTAAATGTGAATGTAAAACCCCGATGTGGGTGACAAACCGTCATGAAAAAAATGTGAACACCGCTAAATTGATATCCCTAAATATAAATACGAACCAAAGGCTAATGAAAGGGTGCAGCTAATTTGTGGTTTTCTTTGATTAGAACGTCGTGTGTCACTCATTTTTGTTTTAGCCCAAGAATTAAAGCAGAAGTTGTAGTAAGATAAGTAAACGTGTCAGATATAGGTATGCTTCCTAACTAATTTTACCTTCGCACTTATGGCGAGACCGAAACCATTTCGAGAGATACAGTATTGTTTGAGAATACGCAGAAAATAAACATCTTATTGTTTTTCCAGCCAATAAATATATTATTTTCATTCCTTCAAAATCTCAACTTAACCCGCGCCCCAGTGGCGGTCTCAGCCAACTTCGCCCTAGTGAGGGGGGCATATGTTACCACCCACCTCTAACTCAAAAACTAAGATGGATAGAAAGACGCGGTAAAAAGCAGTCGATAGCTCTCAATGCGTACGTTTGAAAGTATTTCGGTCATTTTTCATCTTAGAGCAATATTGGGGTCACCAGAGGTCATCAAAGGTCAAAATTTGCCAATGGTCATTATATTTTTCAGAAAACATGCCGTTATCTCAGGAACTATGGTAGCTAGAAAAACGCATGGAACAGCAATCGATAGCTTTTGAACTCGTCTTTTGATAAGGTCATTATCAAAATTGACCTCAGGTCAACGGCTTAGCCTCCAGAGGGCAAAAACTCCAAAAATAGCTGTTTTTACAAAAAGTGTTTTTCGACAATAACTTTCGACTACAAAAAGCCACGACATTTCTATTGCCAGAATCGTGTTTCTCTCGCCAAGACGCGTCGAATGAACTATAATTTGACCTAGAAAGGTCAACTTGAAAATTTGACCTCAGGTCAAGGTCATGACCTGACCGGAAAAGGTCATGTTGCATATCAGTCGATGCGTCTCGGCAAGACAAACACAATGAGACCATCCCCAGTGTTCTATCTCTTTCCAATCTCGAGTTATTGGCAAAAAACTGTTTGTAGCCTCAAATGACCTCGGATGACCTTTCTAGAGGCTATCAGCAAAAATGACACCTTGGTCATCACGGGTTATCCAAATCATTATGATTCTGAAATATTTGGACTGTTCCTATGCGTACACACGGATCTAGAGGCATTTTCATTTTTCTCCATTGACTTGTAATGGAAAGGTCACGCCACTGACCTGACCTTAGGTCACGGATATAAAAAATCCGAGATATACAAATTGTAGGGGCCCATAACATCATGCAATTCACCAAGTTTAAAACCTTTCTGACAAACACTGCAGGCTGGACATGATTGCAAACTTTTTTAGGCTTGGTCAGTTAACTTGACCTGGTGACCTGACCTGACATGACCTGGGGTCAAAAATTTCACACATTGTCCAAAATTGATGTACCAAAAGCTACCCCAAGCGGCGCGGCGCTACGCGCCGCGGTTTTTTATTTACACGCAAAAAACGTGACAGGGTGGTAACATATGCCCTCCCCCCCCCCCCCACTGCACTGGGGCGAAGGTTAAGAGACTGCAGCCGTCTACCAGCTACGTCTAGCCCGCCTATCTGCACCCCAGCTACGGCAGAGCACGGCTGAACCACTCAGCACGTCCCGCCACGGCCGTGCCGGCGGACGGGTACGCCCCGGACGTTCCTGACGTGCCGTGGCCGGTGGCGGTCGGCCGGCCGCGGTCCGGGCCGCCGCCGAGGTCGACTCGGCGCCTCCGGCAATGCTGCTCATCTCATGCCAGTCCAGCGAGCCGGCGGCGGCGCGGACGAGGCGGCGGTGCAGACTGCCCGGAGCCTACACGGCAGAGATCGGGTGGAAGAGAGAGCTCTGCATTCCTCTCAGACTCTCTCCGGCTCACAGCGCCGGCTCGTTCGTCGGTGAAACGGAGTGTCAGCCTGAATAGCTAAATGTGATTGGGTCTGTTAGCCCCGTCAGTCAGTCAGTCAGTTAGGCAGGCAGCTAGGCAGGCAAGCAGACAGGCAGGCAGGCAGGCAGGCAGGCAGGCAGGCAGGTCTTTCTGTCTTTCTCGTTGTTTGCCTATCAATGTGTCTGCCTGTCTGCCTCTCTGCATGCCCTTGCCTTTGCCCGTATGTTATCAACTGTCTTTCAGTAGGAGCCTTTCAATGAGAGGCCCACTTTCATTCAAACGCCACCACCTCGTCCTCAACCACCCCCTCCACCATCCAGTATTGCACCTTTTCACGTGTGCACACTGCACAGTGCAGCATGTGCACCGACCGACGCGTCACCTGTGCACCGTGACCGTTGCACCGAACACATTGCACGCATACCAAGTCGGAG